CAGAAGGGTCGGCCAGTGTGACCAGGTTTCAGCAGAGCTTCCAGACCAAGAACAGACTGCAAAAAAGGAATCGGTTGTCTTTAGAAGAATTAACCACTGCAAACCGAATGAGCAGCAACAGAACATCGTCAGAGACAGTGCCAGGAGAAGAGCCCCTCAGATCGGAAGCACTCAGAGTACGACTCTGGAAGAGCTGCCTTCTCAAAGCAGAGTCGGCCAGAGTGATGTGACTCGAATAAAGCCTTCAAGACTTTCGTTCCCTGATGGAGCATGACTCGAAGTGAGAAGAAACCCCTGCAAATGTCCATTAATAATTGGAACTTAGAATGTATGGAGTATGAATCTAGGAAAATTGAAAGTCGTCAAAAATTGCATTAATTACATATATTACATCGCACGCATACATACCAATATCCTGTGCACTGATGAGTCGGAATGGACTGGTCTGGGCCACTTTTTGTCATAGAGGGAAATGGGTTACTATGGCAGGAACGACATTCAAAAGGAATGGCAATGCCTTTGTCGTCAAAAAGGACATTTCAAGATCTGCCATAAAATATATTGCTGTCTGTGATAGGATTTTATCTCTCCATATATTAGGACATCCAGTCAATGAAACGATTACTCAAATTTATGTACCTACCACTAAAGCTAGTGATAAAGAAATTGAAGAATTCTACCAATGACTTCAGTCAGAATTTGATCGAACAGGTCATCAAGATTCATTGATAATTATTGGTGGTTGGAATGGAAAAGTTGGAAAACAAAGAGGAACGGTAGTTGGAAAATAAGGACTTGGTGATAGAAATGAAGCTGGAGACCACATGATAAAATTTGGCAAAAACGATGAACCTGTCATTGCAAATACCTTTTCTCAACAACACAGAGGGTGACTATCCATGTACACTTCTCCAGAAATCAGATCGACTACACCTGTGGGAAGAGACCATGGAGAAACTCAATACCCGCAGCTAAACCGTGCCAGGGGCTGACTGTGGACGAGACCATCAGTTGCTCATATGCAAGTTCAGGTTGAAGCTGGAGGAAAAGAGGTCCACGAGAGCCAAGATGTGACACTGAATAGACTCCACTTGAATTTCGAAAACATCTCAAGAAGAGAGTTGATACATTGAACACTAATGACAGAAGACCTGATGAGTTGTGGGATGACATGAAGACCATCAAACATAAAACAAAAAAGCATCAAACATGAGGGAAGTAAGAGGTCATTAAAAAGACAGCAAAGAAAGAAAAGATCAAAGTGGATGTCAGAAGAGATGCTGGAAGTCACTCTTAAGAGTAGTTAAAGCAAATGGAAGAGAGGATGAAGTCAAAGAGCTGAACAGAAAATTTCAAAGGGTAGCTCTAGAAAACAAAGCCAAGTAATAATAGCAAAATGTGCAGAGACCTAGCATTAGAAAAGCAAAAGGGAAGCACATGCCCAGCAGATCTTAAACTGTAAGAACGCAAGAAAAATTCAAGCCTTCAAGTTGTAATGTTGAAAGTTTCTCTGGGCAAATGTTGAATGACATAGGAGGCATCAAAAGATGGAAAGAATCCACAGAGCCGTTATATCCTCAAAGAACTGGTCTACCTGCAACCATTTCGAGAAGTAGCATGTGATCCAGGACCATCTAAGGGAGAAGACCAAACTGCATTGATGGCATTAGAAACAAGGCTCCAGGAATTGACAGGATGCCAACAGAAATATTTCAACAAGCTTATGAAGCACTCATTTTCCTATGCCAAGAAACTTGTAAGAGCTGGCCATCTGACTGGAAGAGATCCATATTTGTGCCCATTTGAAAGAAAAGCAACCCAGCACAATGTGCAAATTACAGAACAACACCATTGATTCACATGCAAATAAATTGATATCACATGCAAATAAAATGTTGCTGAAGATCATCCAACAACATTTGGAGCAGCACATTGACAGAGAGCTGCCAGAAATGTAGGCCTAATTCAGCAGAGGAAGTGGAACAAGAGCTATCATTGCTGATGTCAGATGAATCTTGGCTAAAAGCAGAGAATACCTGGAAGCTAGTGACTTTCGTTTTAGTGGCTATGCAAAGGTGTTTGACGGTGTGGATCATAACAAACTCGGGTGACTTTGAGAAGCATGGGGATCCCAGAACACCTAATTGTGCTCATGTGGGACCTGAACATGGATCAAGAGGTGGTTGTGTGAACAGAACAAAGCAACACTGCACAGTTTAAAACTCAAGAAACATGTGGGTTAAGGTTGCATCCTCTCACTATGCTTATGCATTCTGCACGTTGACTAAATAATCAGACAAGCTGGACGCTATGAAGAAGCACAGGGCATCCGGCTTGGAGGAAGGCTTATTAACAGCCTTCAGTATGCAGCTGGTGTCACAGGAAACCAGCCTCCAGCAACCGAAGGGCCAGTAGGCTCAACTGTAAGGCGGTAACATATGAAGATCATAGTAAAGCCACAGTGGATAGGAAAGATAGGAGAGAAAAATAAAGGAATCACACATTTTTTGTTTTTTTGGTCTGTTTGTTTGTTTGTTTGTTAATCATTTTTATTGGGGGCTCATACAACTCTTATCACAATCCATACTTGCATCAATTGTATAAAGCACATTTGTACATTCGTTGCCCTCATCATTCTCAAAACATTTGCTCTCCACCTAAGACCCTGGCATCGGCTCCTCATTTTCCCCCTCCCTCCCTTGTCCCTCCCTCATGAACCCTTGATAATTTATAAATTAGTATTTTGTCATATCTTACACTGTTTGAGGTTTCGAATCAGACACACTTTATAGTAGCATGCTCACCTCAGGTTCTCTTGGTGGACTACATGGACCTGGGAGAAGAGAGAGCCCCTTTACTATCTTGGGACATTTGTAAGTAGCCATACGTCATGCATATTCAGTAGTTACATGCATCACAAGGTGAGTGGTATCTACAGTAAGGTCCCTGAGCTCATAGGTGAGGAAACCTAATACCTGCCTTGGGGGGAGGCATGAGGGGGGCGGGGGTGACACGGTGGGAAGAGAGAAAAGGATGTCTGCTTCCCTAGGGAGATAGAATCAACCCTGTGCTCACTGTAAGGCAGCACAGCTGTTAAGGAGAGAATCTGTGGGGACGATATTTAAAGCAGGATAATGTACTTGGACTTTACCTCTAACTTACCAAAGTGGAGGCTTTCCTGCCGTGGAAGACCAGCATTCCAGACTCCCTCTGTGACAAGGGAATAGGGTCCTCATCATATCCCCTCAGTGCTGCTTTCCCACAAGGTGGCACACCTTTGCTTGTGGAAGTGACCAGGATTTGAGCACTTGCTGATGAAGATCCGGGTGGCAGCCTTCAATATGGATCAAACAAAATAAATAAGCCACACTCCTCACAACTGGACCCACAGGTAGCATCACGATAAACAGAAAAGATTGATGTTATCAAGGATTTCACCTTACTTTGATCCACAATCAATGCTTATATGGAAGCCGCAGTCAAGAGATCAAGCCAGACATTGTGTTGGGTAAATCTGATGCACAAGATTTCTTTAACATGTTAAGAAGCAAGGAGGTTCCCTTGAGGACTAGGGTGTGCCTGATCCAAGCCATGGCATTGTCAATGGACTCATATGCTTGTGAAAGTCGGATGTTGAATTAGGAAGATGGGGGAAGAAGAAGAACCAATGTGTCTGAATATGTTGCTGGCAAAGAAGGTGGAGAGTACCACGGACTGCCCGAAAAACAAACCAGTCTGTGTCGGGAGAAGTATGGGGCCAGAGTGCGCCTTAGAGGCAAGGGTGGCGAGACTCGGTCTTACGCACTGAGAACATGTCCATCCCTGGAAAGGGACATCATGCTCGGTAACGTAGAGGGACAGCCAAAAAGTGGAAGGCCCTGGATGAGGTGGACAGCCGTATCGTGGCTGCAACGATGGGCTCGGATCTGACACGGGGCAGGGCGGCGCTCACCCTGTTCTCCACAGGGTGAGGACGAGTCAGGACCTGCTCGACGGCTCCTCATGTCCAGGGTAACCCCCCACTTCAAGATCCTTCACCTAACGACGTCATCCGAGCCTCTCCCAAGGATTCAGGTTGATGTTCTTGACGGGCCATCCATTCGTCTTCCATGAGTCAGATGAAGAGTCGACGTTTGGAAGCCAAGTGAATAAATGTAGGGGACCCGCCAGTAGAGAGGAAGAAGATATGCTCTCTCCTCTGTCCGCGCCCCCAAATAAAACCAAGACCGCCTCCTGTCCCTCCACTCTGGCCTGTTTTCTTCACAACTTGTGTAAAACTGGGCTCCCAATGATGAGGTTTTACAATAGATGGAATTCCACCCCCACCCCTACCTCATTTTAATCAATCCAAGTATGGAATCATTCTCAGATGTTCCCACGCAGTTGAAAGTTTTTTAAAAATCTAATAGGGAGACTTTTTTTCCCCAAGCATCTGGACTTCCAGTTTCTATCTTGGTGTCAATGTCGGTGTGTTAGTCTGGGCACTTTAGAGAAACAAATCCACAGCAATTCATGTATAAGAGAGAGTGTTATATAAAGGTTAAGTGCACATCAAGAAAAGATCCCAACCCAGTGCTGCCCAAGCCCACAAGGCCAACATTAACTCATATGTCTGACACCAATCCACAAAGTCCTCCTCCATCTCACAAAACACACACAATGATGCCGACTGCAGGAGGAAAGCCCAATCAGTGAATGTGTAAGCATCTCAGCGCTGGCAGGGGTCTCTATACGGCTGTTCCAGCACCCAGGGCTGCATCGGGGTAGGCCCATGTGGCTTCTCCTCAAGGATGTCTTGCAGGAAGTCAGCCTTGCCAGCTGAAGCAGGGAACTGGCTAAGGCAGCTGCACCCTGGTCTGACCATCACAGAGCAAGAGACCCAAGAACTCAAAAGGCAAGGCTCACCGAGCCATTTATCCCTCCTCCCGTCAATGAACCCCACATGTGTTTATCGGCCAGGTTGGCACAGTAAACTAACTCAGTCAGGTTTCTGCTTCCAGCTGAAAAACGCAGGTGGCCTGGAGCCGCTGGTGCATCTCTTGTACTCCAAGAACGAGGAGGTCAGGCGGCACGCCAGCTGGGCCGTGATGGTGTGCGCCAGTGACGAAGTGGTGGCCACGGAGCTGTGCCGGCTCGGGTGAGTGTGGACGGAGAGCAGAACGCACCAGTGCCCTCTTGCCACAGGGCAGCTCGGCAGAATGGGCACTGTGCCCTGCCCAGTATGAGAATCCAGTGTGACTGGTCACCTCTGGAGGGGTGGCTGGAAGGAAGGGGACATCTGTCCCCATTTCCCACGAGCTAGAGCTTCCCCGTCCTCCAGGGGCCCTGGGGGCATCGTGGGTTACAAGCGGGGCTGCTCACCCTAAGGCCACTGTCCAAAACTCTCAGCCGGCCACTGGGGGCAGAGATGAGACCTCCTGTCCCAGTAAAGCAGTGGTTCTCAACCTTCCTAATGCCGCGACCCTTTCATACAGTCCCTCATGTGGTGATGACCCCCCCCCCCGAACCCTAAAATTATTTCCGTTGCTACTTCATCACTGTTATTTTGCTACTGTGATGAATTGAGTGACCCCTGTGAAAGAGTCGTTCGACCCCCAGAGGGGTGGTGACCACGGTTGAGAAGCACTGCAGTAAAGGGTTAGTCTTTGCAACCCACGGGGCAGTTCCACCCAGTGGCATACGGTGAGTTGGAAGCCACGCGATGGCAGTTACTGAGTCGCCGTCTCTGCTGGTGACTGACGCTGTCGTCTGTCTCTCGACTCCCACTGCTAACGTGGAACGGACCAGCTGTGACCACGACGTCTCCCCGCCCCCTCCCACCCCCAACGCCCACCACTGACGACAACCCTTTTAACCAGCGCGTGCACGCGGCCACTCTCACCAAATCAGTTCTCCTGCTGAGCAGCGTCCCATTAAGTGTGGGGTCTTCAGGAAATCAGCAAAAAAGGTTTGAAGGCTCCAGGTTTGTGCTATTCGTGTCTGATCATTTTTATTCTTTGTATATATTGCCTGGTGCGCTGAAAGAGCTGGGCCCCAGACTAACTTTGCTGTAAGTGCAAAGTGAACTTTGTCTGCAACACACCCCCCTCCAGCCCCCCCACCCGTTTCCCATGGTTAGAATTCCTACATGACCTACGTCCTCAGAAAGTGCGGACTTGCTGTTGCAATTCTGTCAGTATTGCTTTCTCCACAAAGGGCCACTATCCGTTCCAATTCTGCACGCAGGATTGCAGTAGGTATGTCATGCAGTAGGGGTATATAATGCAGTAGATATATAATGCAGTAGGTATATCATGTAGTAGGTATATCATTCAGTAGGTGTGTCATGCAGTAGGGGTATATAATGCAGTAGGTATATCATGTAGTAGGTATATCATTCAGTAGGTATGTCATGCAGTAGGTGTGTCATGCAATAGTTGTGTCATGCAGTAGGTATGTCATGCAGCAGGTATGGCATGCAGCAGGTATATCATTCAGTAGGTATGGCATGCAATAGGTATGTCATGCAGTAGGTATGGCATGCAGTAGGTATGGCATGCAGTAAGTATGGCATGCAGTAGGTATGGCATGCAGTAGATATGCAATGCAGTAGGTATATAATGCAGTAGGTATATCATGCCAGCTTGTTTGTGTGAAGCAACTCCTGCTCTTGTTTTATTGGCAGCGCTGCAGATATCCTTGAAGAAATTAATCTGTCACTAAGTCGAAAAAATAAGTTCAGTGAGGCAGCTTATAACAAACTGCTCAACCACAATCTTTCCTTGAAATACAGCCAGACTGGCTATTTATCATCGACTAATATCATTAGTGATGGATTCTATGATTACGGGCGGGTAAGTGGCGGCACGCATTTGTATTTCAATGTGCATGGTGATCCTTTTTATTTTTTCCCTCGCAATGCCATTATGGTCCAACTGTACAACCACCTACCATAATTCAGTGGAGCTCTGTTGGCATCGTGGGTTTGGGCTGCTAACTTCATGGTCAGCAGTTCTAAACCACCAGCTGCTTTCTGCTCTCAGAAAAAAAAATGAACCTCAGAACCCTACAGGGCCCTTTCCCCTCCATCCTACAGGAGTCCGATTCAACTCAACGGCAGTGAGTTTGGTTTGGCTGGAATGTAATGTATGTTTTCTAGAGACAGGGACTTAGAAACCACCACTTCATAACTTTGTCTGGCTAGTTTTGCATTTTTGTGTGGTTTTAACTAGAATCTGGTAACGTAGTTAGAGCAGCCCGTGAACGCCAGTCTCAAATTTCAAATAAGGTATAAAGAAGGAGCATTTTTACTTTAGGGGTGTTATTACTTCTGGGGCTTAGTATTCGTGAGAAGGATAGAAATGTGCTTTCCATCTTATTAATTTTAACAGAGTTCAAATTAATCAAATTATAATCATGGATTTAGAATGCAAGGTGAATATTATTTTAATTAACTGCATAGTGGAATGCAATGCTTGGAGAAACAGGAAGCTAAACCCCCAAATCTTTGAATGCATTTTGAACATGGTTGCTTCAGCCCCTATTTCCCACTTCTAGAAATCAAAAGCAACAAGGAGAATCGGGAAAATAAATAAAGATTCTAAATGCACCGCCACGAAGTCAGCTGTGACCCACAGGGCCCTGTAGGAGAGGGTAGAATTGTCCCTGTGAGTTGTGAAGGCTGTACATCTTTATGGGAGCAGCCAGATGCCTCATTCTACTGAGGAGCAGCTAGTGGCCTTGACCTGCCAATGTTGTGGTTTGTAGCCGAACTTGCAACACACTACTCCACCAGGGCATCTCTGACTTCAGAACAGATTAAAGGACTGCCGAGAGCCCCTGAGATCATGAAGAATCTGTACAGGAAGAAGACTAGAAAAAGAGAATGAAATCTCAGAGGTGGGGCAAGAGAGACAGTGGAGGCGGGTAGATCTCAGAAATCACCCTTGACTACACTGACTGGGAGATGTCAGAACGCAAAAGCTACCTTCCTTCTTTGCCAGGTGGGTGCAGGAATTCAGGACATGGGGTAAGCCAGGCTGCCAGTCGAGGCTCTCTCTCTGTCATCTGATTGCAAGATACAGAGGAGCCTAGCCAGACAGGAAGTCGTGCTCGCAGGACACGCTGGGAGCAGAGGCTTGGCCTTTTGAATGATAAAGACGAGCAAGCCCAGAACTTAACTCAGCCCCTTCTTCTACCTTCCCTCCCTCCCCACTCCCCCACACATACCCCTTCACACGCACACAACCCACTGAGAAACCACCGGCCCAAGGAAGCCCAACTCAGTCAAAGATAATTTAATAAGAATTGGCACAGCGCAACGTGAGGATGTGTTTAGAAAAAAGGGAGGTAAAGAATAGAGAAACCCATACAGAGCACATACCAGAAAAAAAACAAAAAATGCTGCCACAGAACAGATGGTCATGACTAGTTATATTTGGTCATGAATTTTTTTTTAAACCTAATGTGACGTGCACGTCTTCTCTAAAACCCAAATCCATTCATTCAGTAAAGGTTAAGTTTCAATTGGTCACTGAGCCAAACAGACAAAGCTCATGGCGCTTAGATGGCAGTGGGTGGAGACGGTGGGTAGCAAAAGTAATGAGTTACATTGTTTAATACAATAGCAACAACTAGCACTAACGGGGAACCCCCTCTGGTGTGTCAGCCCGCCGGACTGTGGTGGCTTCTGTGTTGCTGTGAAGCCAGAAGCTTGGCCACCACATTTCAAATCCCAACAGGCTCACCATGGTGGGCAGCGCTCCACAGCGCTCCCAGACTAGGACAAAACAGGAGCAGAAACGGGCTGCGCCAGACCACGTCAGAGCGTGAAGCGTGCAGGCCTCGCCGTCCAGGCGTTTTCCACGGTCTCGTGTGCCTGTGACAGACGGACGATGATTAAGAATGGATGCCTCTGAATGACGGTGTCAGCAAAGAACTCAGGGGAAAAACCATAGCTACCAGGAGCGCGAACCTGGAGGAAGTGCAACCAGAAGGCCCCTTAGGAAGCAAGCATGGCGAGACTACATCTCACGTGCTTTTGACATGTTATCAAGATAGACCAGTCCCTGGAGAAGGACTTCATGCTTGGTAAAGTAGAGGGACATTGAGGAAAAGGAGGAGGGGGTTGGGGGGGAGGAGGAGACCATCAACAAGATGGAGTGGCACTGTGGCTGCAGCAATGGGCTCAAACATAACAGTTTTGTGAGGCTGGTGCAGGACTGGGCAGTGTGTCATTCTGTGAAACCAGCGCATCAGCGCCGAACATCAGCAAGAGGGCACGGGGAATGACCACAGTCAGAACACAGGGTCTCTACAGCGCTGGGTGAACTGAGGCTGGTGGTGGCCGTTGGAAACACTGGGGTCATTCGGACTCACTGACAAGGTCACATGTGAACAAAATTCGAAGGAGGTCAGGGTTATATTCCTGGGACTGTATGAGAATTGAAGAGAAATCTAGGGAACACCTAGAAAAAGAGCCCCCAGGACAGAGGAAATGGCCAGGGCAAGCGGCATGTTTAAAGAGCAACAAGCAAGTCCATGTAGCTGGAGTTGAGAGAACAAAGCAGGGAAAGTAGCTTCAGAATGCAAGCAGGAGAGGGAAACCGGATCGTGCAAGTCTTGCAGACCGCTGGAAGGGCTTTGCCCTTCCCTGTAAACGAAATGGGGAAATAGGCATGGCATGGTCTCGCTTACTGTGAAAGGCTCCTGAGAAGTAGCTTGGTGGTGAGAGGCATCTAATTACAACTTGATTGATGACAGATCTCAGAAAGTGATCTGATCTCAATGACTCCCCTCTGGGCTAGTAAAATCACCAGCACAGAGCTCTGTCTAGCGCTGTGGTTTTTTGTTTGTTTGTTTGTTTTTAATTGAATAATCATTTTATTAGGGGCTCATACAACTCATCACAATCTGTACATACATCATTTGTGTCCAGCACATTAGTCCATGTGTTGACTCATCATTCTCACAACACCCGCTTTCCAATTGAGCCCTTGGTGTCAGCTCATTTTCCCCTCCTTCCCCCTCCCCTGAATCCTTGATAATTTATAAGTTATTATTATTTTATCATATCTCACCCCATCCAACGTCTCCCTCACCCACTTCTCCACTGTCCATCCCCCAGGAAGGAGGCCATATGTAGACCTTGTCATCTGTTCCCCCTTTCTCCCTCACCTTCCCTCCACCCTACCACTATTGCCACTCTCTCCACTGGTCCTGGGGGGTTCATCTGTCCTGGGTTTGCTGTATTTCCAGTTCCTATCTGTGCCAGTGTACATCCTCCGGTCCAGCCGGATATGTAAGGGAGAATTGGGATCATGGTAGTGGGGGGGAAGGAAGCATTTAAGAACTAGAGGAAAATTGCATATTTCATCGTTACTACACTGCATTCTGATTTGCTCCTCTCCTCCCCGCAGTCCTTCTGCAAGGGGATGATCAATTTCCCCCGGAAGGGCCCTGGGTCCCTACTCTGCACTCCCCCTCATTCACAATGTTATGATTTTTTTTTTTTTTGGTCTTTGATGCCTGATACCTGACCCCTTCACCGCCTTGTCATCTTACAGGCTGGTGTGCTTCTTCCATGTGGGCTTTGTTGTTTCTCAGTTAGATGGCCCACATGAAGGAAAACAAACAGACCCTGAACTATTCATACGGTTATATATGCATGCATGTGTGTGTTATTGTTGTTGTAGCCATTGTTTTACTTTCTGTTGTTGCTTCGTTGCACTCAGTCTGGTGATGGTACATAGCATGTCTACCTGGAAGGGATAGGCAGAATAAACAAGCCAGAAGAGAGAACAATGGGATGACAGATCAGGGGAACATGGGGGTAGGGGAGTTGGGGGGAAGGAAGAGGTGCTAACAAGCACAGGGACAAGGGAACAACAAGTGATTCGAAATCAATGTCAAGAAGGGTGCAGGAGGCCTTGCAGGGCTGGATCAAGGGCAATGTAACCAAGAGGAATGCCTAAAACCCAAATGAAGGCAGAACCTGATAGTGGGACAAGAGAAAAGTACAAAGAAATAGAGAAAAGAACTAGGAGGCAAGGGGTAGTCATAGAGATGTAAATACAGGCATATAAAGATGTAAATATATTTATATATGATGAGGGGGAAATAGGTCTATGTACATATATTTATAGGTTGAGTAGTAAGAAAACAGATGGACAGTGGGCCCCTACACAAGTACTCCCCCAACACAAGAACACTTTGTTCTAACAATTTGGCAGTCTGAGATGCTCACCTGCCTGGCATGATCGCTGAAGACAATGGGTGCACAAGAAAATGTGGTGAAGAAAGCGGATGATGCTTGGCTACTAAAAGATACAACGCCTGAAGTCACTGAAGACAATGGGTACACAAGCAAGTGTGGTGAAAAAAGCTGATGGTGCCCAGCTACCAAAAGATATAGCACCTGAAGCCTTAAAGACCTGAAGATAAACAAGCACCACTAGCTGAGAGACAACAAAACCCACACGGAAGAAGCACACCAGCCTGCCCCTACTCGATCGCTGAGGACAAAGGGGGTGCATTAGCAAAAGTGGTGAAGAAAGCAGATGGTGCCCGGTTATCAAATGATACAGCATCTGGGTTCTTAAAGGCTTGAAGACAAACAGGCAGCCATCTAGCTACGAAACAACAAAGCCCACAAGGAAGAAGCACACCAGCCTATCCCAACGCGAATGCGGAAGACAAAGCGGGTACATAAGCAAATGCGGTGAAGAAAGCTGATGGTGCCACGCTGTCAAATTACACAGAATCTGGGGTCCCACATGCTGTAAGATAAACAGGCACTGTGTTTAAATATCCTTAAAGTACTGCAGGGAGCTGGTGGCATAGTGGTTATGCACTGTGCTGCCAACCACAGGGTCAGCAGTTTGAAACCAGTGAGTCTCCATAAGAGAAAGACAAGTGTTTCTACTCCTGTATAATGTTACGGCCTTGGAAACACATGTGGCAGTTCTACACTGTCCCGTAGGGCCACGCAGAGTTGGAGTGGCAGCGAGTGGCAGTATTGATGGTATGGTTGGTTACGCACAGGACCGGTAGCTGCAAGGTGAGCATTTTGAAACCACTTGCTTCTCTGCAAAAGAAAGATGAGGCAAGAGTTCTACCCTGTCCTATAGGGTGACCCTGCCAAAAGGGTTGCTCTGAATCCGGATGACTTAATTGTAGTGAGTTTGTTTTTTGATTGTTTGTTTTGTTACAGTATTTAGTTCCAGTTGCAAGGAACTCCTGCCAATAAGTCCAGATGAGTTTGCAAAATCAAAGGCAGGCTGATAATTATGGTGTGAAACTGCGGCCTATAAAGCAATGGTGATGGTGGGGAATTGGAGGGGACGTAAACAAGCTCGAAGACCATCCCAAAGCAAGCATGACCACAAGCGTGATTCCACTGTTTCTACGTCAGTTCTCTCTTTCTGATTCTCTGTCTGTATTCACACACCTGTACATGCACACACACACCTGTGTTGTCAGGTGTCACAGAGTTGGTTTCGACCCATGGAAATTCTGTGCCCAACAGAAGGAAGCTCAGCACAGTCCTGCACCAGCCTCACAACTGTTCCTGTGGCGGAGCCCATTGTAACCACGTGTCAGTCCATCCCATTGAGGCCCTTCCCCGTTTCCGCTGCCCCTCCGTGTACCAAGCATGGTGTCCTCCTCTGGGGACTGGTCTTTCCTGACAATATGTCCCAAAGTATGTAAGATGAAGCCTTGCCATCCTTTCCTCTAAGGAGCACGCTGGTTGTACTTCTTCCATGACAGATCAACTCGTCCTTTTAGCAGGCCATGCACTTTCAACATTCTTCTCCAGGGTCACAATTCAAGTTCATCGATTCTCATACAATCGTCCTGATTCAACGCCTGCTTTCACATACATGTGAGGCCATGGGAACATATTAAGGTTTGTGTTAGTCCTCAAAGAAGCATCCTCCCATTTTTAATGCTCTAAAGAGGTCCTGTGCAGTAGACTTACCTAGTACAACTCGTCTTTTGATATCTTGACTGCTGCTTCCATGAGCATCGATTGTGGATCCAAACAAAACAAAATCCTTGACAACGTCAATCTTCTATCCATGTCTCATGACGTTACCTATTGGTCCAGTTGTGAGAATGTCAGCCTCCTTCACCTGGAGTCGTGAGCCACACTGAAGGCTGCAACCCTTGATCTTTGTCAGCAAGTGCTTCAAGCCCTTCCTGTTTTCAGCAGCAAGCTTGTGTCACGTGTAGATCGCAGGTTGTTCAGAAGCCTACCTCCACTCCTGATGCCACATTCTTTTCAGATAAGCCAGCTTCTGTGATGAAGATCACATACAGACTGGACAAGTATGGTGAGAGCGTACAGCTCTGCCACACACCTTTCTTGATTTTAAACTATGCTGTGTTCCCTTCTTCCATGAGCACAACTGGCTCTTGATCCATGTACAACTTCTGAATGAGACTAGGAAGTGTTCTGGAATTCCCATTCTTTGCATAGTCAATAAAGCACAAGGAAACATCTTTCTGGTATTCTATGCTTTTTAGCCAAGAGCCATTTGACATCATCAATAATTTCCTTGTTCCACGTCCTCTTCTGAATCTGACCTGAACCTTTGGCAGTTCCCTGAGTCTGACCTGAACCTTTGGCAGTTCCCTGTCAACACCCTGCTGCAACCACTGTTGGGTGATCTTCAGCAAAATTTTGCTTGCGTACAAGATCAATTCTATCGTTCTACAGTTTGAGCATTCTGTTGGGTCACCTTTCTTTGGAATGGGCACAAATATGAATCTCTTTCAGTCAGCTAGCCAAGTAGCTGTCTTCCAAATTTCTCCTGGCATAGATGCGTGAGTGCGTCCAGCGCTTCATCAGCTTGCTGAAACATTTCCATTGGTATTCCATCAAATCCTGGAGCCTTGCTTGTGGCCAATGCATTCAGAGCTGCTTGAACTCCTTTAGCACCATTGGTCCTTGCTCGTATGCTGCCTCCTGAAGTGGTGGAATACTGACTAGTTCTTTTTTTATGCAGTGACCCTGTGTATTCTCTCCATCTTCTCTTGATGCTTCCTGCATCATTCCATATTTTGTTTAAAGAAGCTTTCGAGGTGGGAACTCCAGGCTTGGAATTTTTTCTTGAGTCCTTTCAGTTTAAGATGTGCTGAGCATGTTCTTCTGTTTTTCTAATTCTAGGTGCTTGCACATTTCTTTATAATATTTGGCTTTGTCATTAGAGCTACCTTTTGAAATTTTCTATCCAACTCTTGGACTTCATCCTTTTCCCATCTGCTTTAGCTACTCTATGATTAAGAGCAAGTTTCAGAGTCTCTTCTGACATCACCTTGATCTTTTCTTCCTTTCCTGTCTTTTTAATGACCTTTTACTTTCCTCATGAACGATGGTCTGAATGGTGTTCACACCTCATCGGGTCTTCTGTCATTAGTGGTCAGTCGAACCTGTTCTCAGAATTCACACGGCTAGACCCAAGGTCATCTTTTGGCTCTTGTGGACGTGTTTTCATTTTCTTCACCTTTATCCTGAATGAACACCTGAGCAATGGATGGTCTGTCCCACAGTCAGCCCCCGGCCGGCTTTTAGCTTTGATGTCGAGCTTCTCCAGCATCTCTTCCCACAGCTGCAGTCCATTTGATTTCTGTGCATGCCATCTGGAGAAGTCTACCTGTGCAGTGACGCTTTGCGTTGTTGAAAAAAGATATTGGCTACAAACAAGTTCTCAGTCTTGAAAAACTATCATGTGGTCTCCAGCTGTGCTCCTATCCCCAAGTCCCTGTGTTCCAACTATTGTTCCTTCCTTTCTGTTTACAACTTTTGGATTCCAATTGCCAATAATTATCAGTGCATCCTGATTGCATGTTTGATCAATTTCAGACAGAAGTAACTGGTAGAATTCTTCACTTATTCATCACTAGCTTTCATGGTTTGCATATGAATTTGAATAATAATTGTATTGATAGATTTACTTGAAGGGGGTAGATATATTCCAATCATAGATAGCATTGTACTTAATGGTTGATTTTGCAATGTCCTTTTCGACAATGAATTCCAGACCATTCCTCTTGATTTTGTTATGCCCGTCTTAGAGAATCATAGGTTTCTGATTCAAAATGGCCATTGCAGCTCATGAATGCCTAGGATATTGATCTTTATGTGTTCCATTTACCTTTTGGCCACTTCAAATTTTCCTAGATTCATATTCCACGTTCTGATCATTAGCACATTTTTGCATCTGTCTCTTCTGACCTTGAAGCAGGCCCCATCAGCAAATGAAGATCCTGAAGGCTCCACTGCGGCGGCAGGCTTTACCAGACTTTTGTCACCGTGGTCTGACAATTAGCTCCTCCTCAGTCCCATTGTAAGTGCCCTCCAACTGGACCGGCCCCTCCTCCGTACTGTACTATCTCAGCTGACGACAGTGTTTCCAAGCTACGCAGCAGGTTTCCAGCGACTACTTCCTCCGAAATGGCGAGCTGAGTCACCCTCCTTGTTTGTTCTGCGTGTGGAAGCTCCGCTGAAACCTGTCCACTCTGGGTGACCCTGCCGGCATTTGAAATACCAATGACATAGCTTCCAGCATCACAGCAACACACAAGCCACCACAGTATGACAAATGTATATATGGGCTTCTAAAGGTTAATGGAAAAACTGAATGGAAAGATACAGGGATTTTTCCCCCATGGACTGTGTGTGTGTGTGTGTGTGTGTGTGTGTGTGTGTGAGAGAGAGAGAGAGAGAGAGAGAGAGAGAGAAATTAGGACCAGTGGTGGCCTAGTGGCTGGGCTGGGATCCTCAAGGTTGTCAGTTTGAAACCACTCCTGGGGCACTCTACTCCCTTAAACAGTTATTGTCTCAGAAGATGATGGAAGAGTTCATTCTACCCTGTCCTACAGAGTTGCTATGAGTTGGCATCGACTGGATCACAGGAAGTTTGGGTTTGGGTTTTGGGGTATGTGAAATTAGACCTCTTAGTCAATTGAACATTGATTCTATCAGTATATGTTGAAACTGCATGAGCCATGCAAGTATTGCTTTGAATCCCTACATTGTTTTACAGATAAGTCATGGAACCAAACTTTTGCCATTGAAGGAGCTCTCCTTCCAAGAACTAAATGATCAGCGTGCGATACTCTTAATTAACAGTAAACCTTCTGATGCGTGAGTCTTGGTGGGGAGAAGGGATTCAGGGAAGCATATATATGTTTTATCTGTCCATTACCATGTGAATATGTAAATTTCCTAGTATTGCTTGTTTTCTTTCTCTGCATGGAGCATCACCATGAAAATAAACACAGCTTCATAACCAAACATAGTAGAGAGAGTGGAACTATCGCCACCATAACGCCAATCCCTTGTCTGCTATTTTCTTTTGACTGCATGCCACCAGTCCATCTGAATACGCATCTGTAGTCAGAGCCACTTACACTCTGGCAACATGGACTGCGTGAAGAAAGACAAGAGCAAACCGAGATGATTCGCGCTGGCCAGTCTCCCAAGCTGTGTCCCGGCATGGAACTAGAAGCTCTTTGTGAAATACAAAGTCAGTACTGGAGCTTAAAACAAAAGCCTCAGTAATCTTTCAAACGACCATGCGTGTCTATGTAATAACTCCACATTGTGTGACGCATTTTATACAAGCCATTCCCTATTCCAGCTCAGGAGAAACTTTATAATATCCTTTTCATCTTACCTCGACTTCTCCTGTATGTATGTTTTTAATGAAATCTCACCATTAAATTCTCAGCATCCACAGTATGATATTCATGAGGGGGGAGGGAACAAATATGCCCGTCTTGGTAGGACACGAGCAAAGATTGACAAGTCGTTTCCATTTGTACATCGTTTCACATGTGTACAATTTTAGTTATCCGCTTTCAAATATGGAAGATAAATCATCCGACACTGCTTATGGGCGAAGTATTTCTTCCTCCTCATCTTTAAGGAGAGCAAGCAAAGAAAAGACCAGGTAAGAGAACTACGCTATGTTTTGCTCATCACCTCCTTCATCCGTTCTAAATCAAATGTCTAGATTAAAGATTTGGGCAACTTGCTTTTTGTCCTAGCGTGCAACAGGATGATAGCATAGTTGCTTCTCTAGTTTCGGAGGAAAGGTCATTGGGGAGGGTGGCAACTGGCTCCACTCTGTCTGCTATGGGCCTACAGTGAGTGTGGAAGCAGATCACTTGAGCATCTCTGGCAGGCAGCGGGCTTCCTTTCCCAGCTCTGCAGTGGGTGGTGTCTGCTCTTTATGGTTTGTAATGGGGGAAAGAAAGAGCCAAAGCTTATAATGAAAGTTACTTCCATTAAAGTGATCATTTAAAAAAAGACAATAACAACTGTATCGACTCTAAAATGCCTTACAAAATGTGATGTGTTGCTATGTTCCCTATAATTGAAATTCGTTATGATTTTTTTCAAAATGACAAGAAAAAATAGTTATCATTTTAGTGCTGGAGTTGGATCTCCCACAGAAGAAAAATCAGAACCTCCCTCTGGACGAAATTCTGTTCTTAGCAAAAGTGCCACAAAGGAAAAAGGACCAAGGTAGGGCATGCTGTTGTCCCCCTCCTAATTATATTCTCTCCCCAGCGCCAGCCATCGAGCAGAGTCGGTGACAGGGAGGCGTGCCTTCTAAACAGAAGGTTTTCGAAGTCGTGTGTTGAACGTGGCAAGCCTTGGGAAACGTTGTTTAAAAGCAACTTTGGTTTTGTCTCTGGCATGCTCCTGAACACGCGTCCAGAGGATGGCCTGTTCCTGGGGCTGGACAAAAGCCAGACCACCCTGAACGGATCCCATGATAAAGTCGTACGGCCACGTTAGTTTACAAAATGGGGGGAACACCCGGGCTCATCACAGGCCTGTTCACAGAGCAAAAAGGTGACCTCCAACCAAGGGCCCGTCAATGGATGATGGCCAAGTAAAATACGGCACATGCATACAATGGAACGCTACTCAGCGGTAAAGCTAAATAGTTCCTGAGACATCTTGGAGCATGCATGAAGCTGCCAGGCATTTCATTGAGTGCAAATCAGTCTGGCACATGTGCAAAAATACCATATGTCCCCCTCACTTTGATGATATGCAGAAACGGGTTACCAGGGGTGGGCGGGGCAGGGGCAGGGGTCCACACTATAGAGAGGATGCACTTGTGATTTTTTGGTGCTGGGGAAGGGAATATCTACTAAGGCCGGACTGTACCCAGCTTGACCCAAATAAATGATATCAGGGAAAAGCACACACATACATACACACACACACACACACACACACACACACACACACACACACAAAACGACCTGCTGGCCATTGTCATGTCAAAGGCATCTATAAACCGGAAGGAGCCCCAACGGCTTGGTGCTGACGCATTGGGCTGCTGACTGTGAGGGCAGCAGTTAGAAACCCCAGGCCTTCCTCGGGAGAAGGACCAGGCTGTCCACTCCCATGAAGAGTCGCGGTCTCAGAAACCCACAGGGCGCTTCTACCCTGTCCGAAGGGGTCGCTGGGAGTTGGCTTCAACTCAATGGCAGTGAGTCTGGTCTTGGGAGTTTATATAAATTTGAAACAACGAAAAAATATGTTTGTAGGAATATATGTATGTAGGTAGGCATCTTTGTGTCGAAGAATGCATTGTGTTCATCTGTAGGTATGTACATATTTAGAAGTACGTGCTTCTATGTGACTCCGTGGCTATAGAGTCGTGTAGACGAAAGCCCCCGGGAGAACAGTTATAGATATGTCTCAGACAGAACCAGGCACCTCACAGGACTGTTTGAAGGACCAGGAGCATAGTCACCTAGGGCACTTCAGTCAGTTGGCATACTACATTCGATGACGTTACGTCCTACATCCTGGTTTGGTGAGTCGTGTGTAGGTTCTTAAAAGCTTGGGAGTTACCACCTACGTTACAATTATCCGGCTCTCTTCATCTGGAGTAAAAGAGGATGGGGGATGCCAAAGACTCAGCGAAGGAGCTGGTCTAGGGGACTAGCTAGTGTAGACGGCATCCTGCCATCACTGCTGCCTATGTCAGTCAGGGCCACCTTAGATGGGCCCTGATAGAATGGGAGGGGAAAAATCTTAAGCAGAACCTAGAAGGAAACAAGGAAGGAAAGAGGCAGGGAGCGAGGGAGGAAGAAATGAGAAACAAAGAAAACAAGATCTATTAGGCGGCTTGAGACTGGAAAGCTCACCCAGACTCTTGCCCTGCGATACGCTTCAAACTTCCAAATGAAATTAGTCCCGAAGTCACCCTGTAGCTAAATAACAAGTTATCTCACCAAATGATCTTACTGGAGGGACGGTGCTCCTTTTTCACAAATCAGCTATAGGAGAACAATTGCTCGAGAGTTCCCTTTAAAAATAGATGAGAATGCAAGGGGGCAGGGAAACGATGTTGATGGATACTGAACAACTACAGGGGGAAACATGCAAATTGTAGCCACTTCATAGGGGTGTTGGGAGTATTCAATACCGGACGTAAAGGCTGGGAGAGCAGTAGGCACTGAACAAGTGCTAGCCACCACTGTTGCTGCTAAGCAGGTGGTATGGCCCTCGGCGCCTCTGCTGGATTTGATCCCTCATTGCAATGGCCACACAGAACCCACAGACAAGACTCACACTGGGGGGGCTTCATAGGGAAACCAACTGGTTACAAAACACTAAGGACACATAGCGCTTCTTCATTAACCCCCTGAAATTCATTGCCTGTATCGCACATTCTCAATCACGCTGGCAGACTTGTCTCTCGCTGGTCCTTGGCTTTGCAGCCAGGTTTTCCCTTGGCCTCTGCCTTGTGCCGTGAGCTTATGGTCCCAGTGCTGCTCTGTCTCCTGGTCTCGGTGCAGCAGGCTCTGGTGCCTCTGCTGCCTTCACCACAGCCCCTCCACTGTAGGCTCTTCTTTCTTGATGGGGATGGGATCTCCCTCTGCTTCTGAAATGACTCACTAGTATAGCCAGTGAAACGGAGGAAAACAACTCATTCACTCTATTGGTGTTTCACGTGGATAGAAGAGTAAGAGTAAGCAATTTCATTTCACTCACCCCCTCTAAGCCAAATGAAGTGCAAACTCCAGCGATGGCAGACGCAGTCCTGTGCGATGCCACATCCCCACCCGACTCTTCTTTCCTGCCCCTAGCGTGCAGGCACACTTTGGGTTGTTCATGTTGCTCACCCTGCCTAGGATAGCCTTCTCTCTCCGGTGTGCCCGGCAAATGCCTATTGCGCTTGCATTCTCTGCTTTGGAGAAGCGCTCCCTGGCCGCTGTAGAAAGCGTCCGTTTGTGGCCACTTCTTTCCTTGTCTGGTTCTCTCGTGTGCGCCGTCTGCACTGGGTGGTGTGGAGGTTTTGTTGGCCTGTCTGACTAAGCCATGTGTTTCTTGAGATCTGGGATCCTACCGCTTCCATCCCTTATTGTATCAGGCACAGCAGGGGCTGTGAAAAAAGAACTAATCTTTACCAAAGAGAAATAATGATGAACTTTTACAAATCACTTCAGATGGCGAATTCGGGCTGATGAAAGGTGTAGAGAGTTGCTCTCCCACCAGTATACACAGGGATTGTGTCTCAGTCGCATCTCAATAAATTCTCGCCACCTTCTCTTAGGTCATTAATTTATTCCACAAACAGGCACTGAGCACCCACTACAAAACAAGGATTGTTCCAGGGTCAGAGATACAGATGTGAACAAAAGCCTCTCCCCTGAGATAACGTGCTACGCTCTAGTGGGGAGACAGTCAATAAGCCGCGGTCAGGCACGCACCCTTACATATGATGTGTGTGCATGCATTATCTGCCCTTCGAGGCCAATAAGAAGTCTCCTCTCCCTTGTGAAGAATAGCTCCTTCCCACCTCCCACCAGGGCAATTAGAAACAATTTCTCTCAAGACTAGTGTCATTGGGTTGCTTTACTGTTCATCCCCTGCCACCCGACGTGATTTTTTAAACATGTACCCAAATCTGACCCCCTAAAGTGAAACACTGAGGGGCTTGGGTTCAAGACTGACATTTCTCCACGGACCCGCCAGCTTTGTCATATACAAACATGTCCAAAGGGTTGAATGGTGCCCAAAGGCAGCACCTTCTGAAAATGCCGCTATGTGAGTTGCAGGTAAGATGTATCTATACCTGCCTACTTACCACCTGCCTAGTCCCCCATCTGTGAACATAGACAGATTCCCTCCTTGTTTAAGATGTCCACCACAAACCCTATCTCTCTGATGTCCCGTGGCTGGAATGCCTGTGGAAAAAAGGTTAAAAAATCAAAAAAATGCTGTCTGATCAGAAGCTGCTGCCTTTGGGTGTTTGCTTCCATCTTCATTTGGAAATGCAATTTACTAAAGTATTGAAGTCCTTATTTTAGCCATCTTGGAAGCCCTTAAAGGGTAGAAGGCCAAGGAAATGCAGGTACTTCCACCAGCAGCAAACTAGGGCTCAGGAGTTCCAGTGAATTATCTCGTGACGCACTCAATAAGATTGCCTGCCATACCAGATCCCATCTTCTGCATGCCAATGGTTCTTTCTTGGTACACCGCAGCAGGAGGAGCAGGACTCCTGCGTCCATGCCTGCACCCATGTCGCAGATGGTGCGGAATCACCACAGGCCCTCCCATCTTACACTGCGATTTCAGAAAACAGATGAGTCCCATAGAAGTGTTTCACATCTCTCACTGACCTCCCTAGGATTCATTCTTAATTTACTAAAATCATACTGTGCGTATGAAGATGTCCAATCTATTTCTTTTCTAAATAGGTAAAGGGTTTAAAATGATGTATCTATGTAATACTAAATTTTCATTAGCACATATGCCGGACATGACATAATTAGGCTTGCTCCCATACAAAGTAGACAGATAGCGGATTTTTCTATTGTCATAAATATACAATGTCAGGCAAAATAGTCGTTAAGGGAGGCGTAAGTATATATTTTTAAGAACTACCAGATCTGTTTTTGTTGAATGTTTACACAGCAAGTTAGCCTTCCTTGTGAAGATTTCTACACAAAGTGGCCACTGACATTGGTTACATTTCTCACGACCCGTCAACATGTTTTTTAACTCATCCCGAGTGTCCTATGTCCAGGACTCTGCATTCCCCTTGTCCCTTAAACTTATCTTTGCTTTACAGCCATTGCTGATATGTATATATTTACAAAAATTAAAAGGAAAAGAAACTGGAACACAATTTTGGAGTGTGGGAGACAATAGGATTGGCTACATGGGCACCACTCCCCCCCAACGTGACCAACTGCTAGGATGTCCCTCCTCTTCTTACAGATGCCACCCTTCCCCCTCCTTTTGCTTGAGTCACCCCATCAAATAGCTAGGCTTCTGGCGTAAGTGTTACATGGTGCTGACAGCTCCCTTTGCTCTCTTCCCTTCTTTGATCAGCACACACACACAGGGCCACAGCTCGAAGCACTTCGACTCAACCCCATGCGCAGAAGCTGGCTTGCCACACTGCCTTTCTACCACCCAGCTCCTGACTCAGGAACCTATAAGGGGAAGTGGACACTGAAGATTGCCCTTGCCTTCACAGTGCACGCACA